GCTGGGGATCAGCAGGTTTTTTGTTCATTCACTGATTGTGCTTAGCCAGCTTCTGGATGGAACGGGAGTCAGCGAGTGAGGTGGGGCTGTGCCCCTAACGGGCCTACTGTGGGTGGAGAAGGCTGTGCGGGGCTCTGACGTGCTGGTCCCCCAGGGGCAGAGATGCAGCCATACGTGCAGATGGTCCTCAACAACCTGGTGGAGATCATTAACAGACCCAACACGCCCAAGACGCTGCTGGAAAACACAGGTGGGCACCAGGCCTGGGCTGGGAGGGGAGTCAGTGAGAGGCCTCAGCAAAGAACCAGGGAGTGTATCTGGAAGGACCTAGAAGGGGGTTCTGGGAGGAACCCCAAGTGGGAGACCTAGGAGGAGACTCAGGTGGGACAGGGAGCAGAGCCTGGCTGGGCCCACCTCCGGAACCCAGGTTGGTTGCAGGAGCGATTCCCTTGGGGGCCATGGGGCGGGGCTCAGTGCCTCATTCCAGAGGCCCTGCCACGTACCGTCCCGGGGCCGCTCGGGGTTGCAGGTCGCCTGACGAGTCCCTCTGCCATTCCAGCCATCACCATCGGCCGCCTGGGCTACGTGTGCCCACAGGAGGTGGCACCCATGCTGCAGCAGTTCATCCGGCCTTGGTGTGTACCTGTCTGTGGGGCTTGCCATGGGGTGGGCAGGATAGGCCCGACCCTTTCCCGTGCCCCTCCCCAGCCCTACCTGCCTTCTGACCCCCCTGTTCCACCCCAGCCCCCTTTGATACATGTCCCAGACCAAGCTGCCCACCCCCTGCTTCCCCACCCCCCTTACATGCACCTCCTACCCCAGCCCTTCCCAACCCCTGACCTGCTCACCTTCCCACAGGTGCACATCCCTCAGGAACATCAGGGACAATGAGGAGAAGGACTCAGCCTTCCGGGGCATCTGCATGATGATTGGCGTCAACCCCGGGGGCGTCGTGCAGGTTGGGGCAGCTGGGCTCTGAGGGAGGTGCTGGGGCTGGGCTCGGGCGGCCCCTCATATGGGATCCATCACGTTTCAGGACTTTATTTTCTTCTGTGACGCTGTAGCCTCCTGGGTGAGCCCGAAGGATGACCTTCGGGACATGTTTTATAAGGTGAGGCTTCCACTGGGCTCTGATCTAGATGCCGGAGGGGGCAGGGTGGAGACCCTGGTGCGGGAAGAGATGTTTCTCTTGCTCTGCTCTTGCCCGCCCCTCACCCCCTCCCTTACCCCAGATTCTCCACGGCTTCAAAGACCAAGTGGGAGAGGAGAACTGGCAGCAGTTCTCTGAGCAATTCCCACCGTTGCTCAAGGAGAGGCTGGCGGCCTTCTACGGGGTCTAGGCGAACAGAGAGACCACCAGGTGAGGGGGCCACGGGTTGCGGACCAGTGCTGTCTCGGGTGCCAAAGGCCAGTGGGCACTGACTGTCCTCCTCCCCCTGCAGGTTTCTGTCTGCATCATCGTCGGAGGGATTGCTGGGGAGCGCGCTGCGTCCAGAAGTCGCTGTGCCCTGGTCGAGGGGGGTTAGGGAGGAGTGAGTGGGACCCAAATCCAGATGCCTTCCCTGTCCGTCCATCCGTCCACCTGCTCTGCCAGGCCTGTCTGGCCAGTGGGCGGGCAGGTGGGTGGCGCCTCCACGCTCATCCTACAAACTGGGAGGGGGGTGGGACTTCTTGGTGGGCAAGGGGCCCTGGGCTCTAATGGGGTCATCTCAGGCAGCTCACTTGGGCCAGCCACGTGGGAGGGAGGTATCAACACGGCCGACCAAATCCGGCTTCAGATGAGGCAAGGGAAAAGCAGGCGGGGAGGGGGGTTCCTTGTAGACGTGTCCACTCCCATGTGCACACACGTGGCCACACGCATGTGCGGGCGCTGCAGCCGGCAAGGCTGGGCCAGCCGCCCCACCATTTCCCCGACTGCATGGAGACAGTAGAATTAGTGAACCCCTGAGTTAGCCCGTAAGGCCTTCCGTGTAACCTGCATCTAGAGTTTAAGAAGCTTCTGCTGTTTTGCCAGAACTGGCGGTGATTGGGGAGGGCTGGGTGGGTTGGGGGCCTCAGCCGGGACCCCAGGGCGGGGGGAGGAGGACGGCCACCTTGGGGTTGCCCTGTCAGCACGCACACACTTTGGACCTGCTCCACACACTTCCTGCCAGCTTAGTGGCAGCCTCAGCCAGTGTGTCCCCGTCCTTGTCCCATCCTAGCCACTAGGGTGGGGACTGCTGGAGTGGCTGGGGCTGGCCAGAGCCTGCCTGCCCCTTCTCCCCTGTGCTCCAGCAGCTTTTCAAGATGCTGGGCGGGGACCTTTTTCCTGAAGAGATCTGGGGGCAGCCAGAGCTGCTGGCATCTACCCCCGGTAAGCAGCTTCAAGGGCAGCTCGTCCCTCTGTGCTTCTGAGAGCCCCCTTCTCAAGGTCCAGGCCCAAATTTTAACTCGAGGGCCATGGGAGGAGCATTTAATTGATGATGACAGAATACAAACGCTCACGCTTTGCCAGCAAGAAGGAAACCCGAGGGCTTGGAGGAGGCAAAGGTGGTGCACTCCCTTCCCTCCACTATGTTGCCCTGAGACTTTGTGCTCATCACGTGCCCCGTGGGCCCAGAGACCCCACCAGACTGGGGCAGCTAGAGAACCCTCTGGATGGCTTGGGGGTGTGGTCAAGGTGGGAGTGGCTCCCCTAGAGAGGAGTGGGTGTACTTACTTCCCAGTTGGCTGGGAAACCGGGCCCTGAAGCCCCCTGAACATTATTTTCCTTTTTTTCCTTCCCTGCTTTTGACTTCTTTGGGGGCCCCTGTGTTTTGGGGTTTGACTGGAGTCCTGCTGCATGCTGGGGTTTGCTCCATCCATCCTTCCGAGGCTCTAGACCCTGCCCCCATCCTAGCCCTGTGTCTCCTCTCATACAGGGTCAGGCCCTGCCTCTATTCCAAGGGGCACCTAGTGCACATTCCATAACTCGGCTGGTTTCTCCCCCACCATGAAACCTGAGCAGGTCTCTGGAAACCATTTGTTTAAAAAAAAAAAAAAAAAAAAAAAAAAGTTTTTTTAATACCATTACATTTTCTGGTAATTCCAGTTACGTGGAGCATCCTCTGCTGGGTCTTGGGGTGTGTGGATGGCTTGGCTGATGGGATTGGTAGCCCCCTCTCCACCCAAGTTGGGAGGCTCCAAACAGCTGCAGGGAAGGGGAGCCTGGTTCTTCTTTTCTTTCTTTTTTTAAATAAGAAAGCTATTTAATTTTTTAATTTATTTTTGGTTGGTTTTTGCACAACGAAGTTTCAGCTTCTCAACCTTCTTCCTTGCCCAGGGCTGTGGACCCAGACTGGCCTTGATCCGCAGTCCCTCTTTCCCTGTTTCCTGAGTCCCTCCTTCCCTCTTCACCCTCTTCCCCTGCGGGCTCCCGGATTTGTCCATTTGTTACTGTGCTGTGCTGGGGATTGGCGCCAAGGTGGCGTGAGATTCCACTTGTGTAGAACTTTGTTGAGTAAAGATCAGTTTCTTGTGAAACACTTCGTGTCTGGCTTCCTGTCCTTGTCCAAAATCTTTGGCTTTGGTGGTGGACAAGAGATGTGGGGAGGGGCCTAGGATGCTTTAGAAATGAGGATGCACAGGGGCCAGCCCATGGCTCACTTGGGAGAGTGTGGTGCTGGTAACACTAAGTCAAGGGTTAAGATCCCCTTACCGGTCATCTTTTATAAAAAAAAAAAATGAGGATGCACAGAACTCAGGAAATAACTGAGGGAGCAGGGAAGTAAAAACCGGGCACATTGCTTGGCAACTTAAGTCTCAGTTTTCTTCCCTGTAAAATGGGAAGGTGAATGTAAAAGAAGGAAGACTCCATGTGTAATGTACATGAAATGTGCAATGTGTTCTCTGAGACATAAGTACAGTTCATTAAAGGGGCGCCATTAGTGTTATAGCCCAGGTTCAAGATACCCCTGTGCCATATGCTAAACTGAGTGGCAAGGAGCAAGGCCTTGCAGCACTATTATCTTCGGATGATTTCACAACTCTGCATCACTCGGCAGGTTAGAAGTTCGTAGAAGGCTCATCCCAGCATCAGGGCTGTGGGAGACATTTAAATATGAGCAACAGTTACTGTGGTAAATGAGAAATACCGCCAGCTCTGGGGGAACACAATCTTAAGAATAAAATCTTGTTGCAACCTCAGTATGGCCCAAGGATCACCGGTATCAACCTGGAGAAACTAAAACATGCTGACACATTCAACAATCATTCGACAAATAATGCCTACATTCTAGTGAGAGGGAATAAACTATAAGTAGGGGAACAGTGATGAGCATCAGAGAGAAAAATAGAAGGGGGAGATAGAATGTTGGAGGAAATGGTCGAAATCTTATGTAGGGTGCTCTGGGAAGGCCTTACAAGGTGATGTTTGAACAAACAGCCATGAGGAGAATGTCAAGCAGGGGAAACAGGAAGTACTGCTCAAATAATTTATGTGGATCGGTTAACTGCCCGGCTCAAAAGAGTAAATATGACGCTGTTTTTTTATCAGTACGACTTTAGGTAATATATAGTAACAGTTTCACTGCGCCCCCTTCCAGTGTAACACTGCATATTTCTGGCTCCGGAAGAAGAGAGGCATAGAATAGATAGGAGTTCGAACCCCTCCTCTGCCCCAGACGGCGAACTCCGAAAAGGGCCTCTGCGTATCTAAGCTCAGCGTCACTTTTAACAGGAGACTCCGACAGAGCCGCGTTTTGTGACGAGTCAGCTGGCCCTCTGCAGCAGCACCACCAGAGATGCTTGTCTAAAAAACGCAGAAATATGCACTTTCCAGACTAAGGCCGACGCAGCTGCCGAAAGAGACCACTCGGCCCAGCGGGCCTTCGGAATCAAGCCAGTTTCCCCGCTAACCGTTCGCTTCCGGTCCCCGGAGTAACGTTATCAGTCAGCGCCGGAAGTCTTGTCGCGCTGCCTAGGAGACAGGACGCGGGGCCAGCAGCTGACAGGGCCCGGCGGGCCGCGCCCACCCGGTCGCCATGGAGCTGCCTCCAGGGCCCTGCGACGACCCCTGCGCCTGGGACGATGATTCGGACCCGGAGCCGGAGCCCGACCCCGACGCGCAGGCCGAGGCCTACGTGGCCCGCGTGCTCACTCCGCCAAAACCCGGTCTGGCGCCCCCTCGCGCCTCCCCGCTGTCCACGTCCGCCGCGTCGCCCGGTGCCCTGGAGCCGCGGGCCGCGTCCAAAGTCCCGGCCATGGGTGAGCCGGGCCTGCTGAGTCTTCCCCCGGAGCTGCTCCTCGAGATCTGCTCCTACTTGGACGCGCGCCTCGTGCTCCACGTCCTTCCGCGCGTGTGCCACACGCTGCGCGACCTCGTGCGCGACCATGTCATCTGGAGGCTACGCGCGCAGCGCCGCTTACGGGCGCCCTACCCAGTGGTGGAAGGTGAGCGCTCCCAGGGGCCGGGGACGCCCTCCCAGGTCAGGCTTAGGACAGAGGAGGGGGTACCTTTGAGTGCTGTGGGCACAGCCGCTGGAGCAGGCTTCCTGGCTGTCCTGGCTCTGGCTGGAGGCTGAGGTAGTTACTGGTGGTGCCAAAGTTCCTGATCTCTGGGTGGAACATGAGGCAGACGCTCGGGGTCCTGAGACTGTGAAAAGGCACACCAGAAATCGGATCCCTGAACTCAGGATTCGGAGGTCCGCAGGCTTGGGGTCTGGTGATACCAAGCCTCTGATTCCTGGTTAGAGATTGACTCAGGGACTTGAAGCCTCAGGCTGTGGGAATCTACACTTGGGGCTCAGAGTAAGCCCAAAAATCCTCAGGCTCCGGGTCTAGCCCAGAGGCTGAGGCAGCAACTGGTGAAACCAAAACCCCTGACCCCTAGAGCCTTGAGCTGGGGACACTGAGGCAGGAGCTCAGCGTCCAGGGCCTGCAACCCTTGAGGTTTAAACCTAGGATATAAATGTTGAGATCGCTGACACCAGCAGCCACAGATCTTCAAGCCCTAGGTCTAGCCTGGCATCTTAGGCAGGGGCTGTTGGTCACTCCTCCTGCCCCTGAGTTCACTGCTCAGAACACAGCTTGGAGACCGTGAATTGATATTGGTGATCCTGATATTGTTGGATCCTCAGACCCTTGAGCCAACATGAATAACAGGTTGGGTGGTCGATTATTCAAAATGGAAGCTTTGATTCTACAGAGGGGCAGGGACTCCTGCATTAGTGATTCTCAAGGTGTTGCCCTCCGACCCCTAGGGTCAGACTCTTCCAAACAACTTGATAAACATAGGTGCTTGGGTCCCACCCAAACCACTGAATCTCTGCACCTGGAGTTTGGATTATGCATCTTGACAAACCTCCCCAGTTTACAGATACTAGTTTAAGAAACACTTCCCTTGGTCTGTTTCAGATGGCTGAAGCAAGAAGAATTAGTTATGAGGCCCCAGCTCCTATGTCCAGCCTGAGGACTGAGGGGCTGAGATTAGACCTCACCCAGGGGTGAGGAAGGACCTCAACGTCTTGAGGCTGCTATCCTCCAGGCATGGGTTGAGGGATGAGGCCTAGAAGGGTGGTCCTGAGGCCCCAGTTTCCAACTTCTGGAAACTGGAGTGAGGAGTAGTCCTAGACCTGCCTGGGAGGGGTGGGCAGCTGGTCCCAAGGCCAGAGCTGGAACTTACTTGGGTGGGGTGAGGGATTCAGAGGGTTCTCTCCAAGTCTGGTGTAGGTTGAGGTCCCTGGAAGCCAGGAGTGGGCTTGGCCAGCTGGTTTGGGTGGCAGGTTCCCTGCCCACCAGGAACCCTACTCATGGTGCCCACAGAGGAGGACTTTGACTGGCCGGCGGCCTGCATTGAGCTGGAGCAGCACCTGGCCCGCTGGGCGGAGGATGGACGCTGGGCCGAGTACTTCTGCCTGGCCAACGGGCACTTTGCTTCCATTGACTCGGTGCTGCTGCTCCAGGTGAGGCTGGGTCAGTGGGGGGACAGGCAGGGGTGGGCCAGAGTGGCCCTGACAACATCATCTCACTCCCCTCCCAGGATGGGATGCTCTGTCTCTCTGGCTCCCGAGATCGCAATGTCAACCTGTGGGACCTGCGGCAGCTGGGGGCGGAGCCCAGCCGGGTTCTGGTCAAAGCCCTGGGCACCCAGCAGAACAGCACCCACAAGGTGAGGAGTAAGGCAGGGCTAGGAGGCATGAAGCCCGGGTAGGGTGCCATAGCTAACCGCCTAGGTTTTGGTGCCAGACCTCATAGGTTTTAATTTCGCCCTGCTATTGTTGGTGTGACTTTGGACAAGATGTGTGACTTCTCTGTGCAAGTTTCTACTTGTGTCCAGTGGATAGTTAGGGTGAGGGTGAATAGGCATTAATATGAATACATTAAGCTCAGGCTTTGACACATAGTAGGTGCTCAATAGATGTCAGGCATACTTTTTTTTAAATCTTACTTTTTTTTTTTTGGCAGCTGGATTTGAACCCTTGACCTTAGTGTTATAACACCGCGCTCCAACCAACTAAGCTAACTGGCCAGCCCCACGTATACCATAAGAGTTACAGCACAGGGCAGCTATGAGGTTGTCCTTGGGGATCGGCCAGCCCTGAGCATGACAGTCATGGCTGCAGAGGGACATCAGTCATTGAGGTGGTCCAGGCCAGTGACCAAGAGCTTGGGCTCTGAGGCAGATTCAGATCCCCACTCTGCTACTTTCTGGCTGTGTGACCTGGGGTGAGAGACTCAAACTCTTTGTGCCCCAGTTTCCTTATCTGTAAGATGGGATGCACTACCGTACCCTCCTCAGAGGGTTTGAAGGAATGAGTCAGCCAGCGTCCAGCACTCTGCATGTCAGCTCCTGAGGTGGGAGCTGTTCATCTGCCCGTTTTGCCGATGAAGAAACCGAGGGAGGGGATGTGATGTGCCCAGGCTGCACTCTTAAGCACGTTGTCACGTGGCCTCACACCATCACAGGTGCCTAGCCTCTGCAGAACTTGACTTAGAAATGTTATTGGGTGGGGCGTGCATGTCCTGGGCTCTGAAGTCAGACAGAACCACAGACCCAAACTCTAATCTCAATTAGGTTTGAACTTGCTCTGAGTTCTTGTGTTGGCTCTTTCCCTCTCTTCTCTGATCCTTGATTTTGTTATCTGTGGGATGGGGATGATCATGTAGAGCTAGAATTGTGTTGTCCTGCAGCATCTGTCAAAGTGGGTGTCAGAGAGGAAATGCTGTGTGGCTTTGGGTGAACTTTTTGACCTCTCTGAGCCTCATCTGCAGAAAAAGGCAGGTCCTGCCCTGCCCCTATGGGATGTGGTGAGGGGCCTGAGCTAATGTGCAGCCCACGAGGTGGGGAGTGGTGTGTGACTGCTGTGCCTGGTCCTGCAGGGCTGGGTGTGGTCACTGGCAGCACAGGACCACCGCGTGTGCTCCGGCTCCTGGGACAGCACGGTGAAGCTCTGGGACATAGCGGCCGATGGGCAGCAGTTTGGAGAGATAAAGTATGAGGGATCATGGGCAGGAGGCCTGGGTGGGTAGGGCTCTGCCTGATTGCAGCCGGAGTCCTGTGGTCCATGTGTCCCCAGGAGCAAAGCAGCCGTGCTGTGCCTCTCCTACCGGCCTGACATCTTGGTGACCGGTACCTATGACAAGAAGGTGACAGTCTACGACCCCAGAGGTAAGCCGGGGATCCTGGGGCCTAGGTTGGCAGAGCAGGGCTCCCTCGGGCTTCACAGCCTGGGTGGGGCAACAGTCACATAATCAGATGCTAACCACTTAGAGTGACAGTTCTGTTGTGGGGCACAAGGCAACTGGAGCAGGGGGTGCAGAGAAAGCCCCAGGGGTTGGGTTGGAATCCTGCCTCCCCCACTTCCTAGCTGTGTGACCCCAGGAAAACTTGAACCTTAGTTTCCCCATCTGTACAGTCCAGATAATAACACCCCCAGCAGCCCCACAGGGTTAACAGGAAACTTGAACCTTAGTTTCCCCATCTGTACAGTCCAGATAATAACACCCCCAGCAGCCCCACTGGGTTAACAGGAGATGATGATAAGAGCAGCGGTGGGTTAAGTAAGTTGGTTTACATAAGACGCCTAGAACCAACACTGCCTCACACATACGTCTCTTCTATTGTTTACTTATGTATTTGTTCTTATTTTGTTTAATTGAAAAGCCAGTGAGCCTTGTCCAGGCAGAGCCCTAGTGGGGGTGGAGGGTGGGGACATCTCTCAGGCCCACCTGCAGGCGAAGGCATTTCAAACGTGACTCTGTACTGAAAGGAACAGACAGAACTGGAGGAGGGAGATGGGATGGGGCAGGGAGGAGCAGAGGCCTGGGGTTTCTGGGGAGACCTGGAACCTACTGGGGTGGGAAAGGAGAGACGGGTCACCTGTGGGGCGGGGGACCGAGCAGACTGAGGGTTTTGCCAGAGAACATGGAGGCCTGGGAGCCTCGGGTGGGCCAGGGGGCCTCCAAAGGGCTCTGATGTCCCCCTCCTCCCTGGCTCATCCCCTGTGAAGCGGGCCCGGCCCTGCTGAAGAGCCGGCGACTGCACTCCAGTGCTGTGCTGGCACTGCTGGCGGACGACCGGCACATCATCTCGGGCAGCGAGGACCACACCCTGGTGGTGTTCGACCGCCGAGCCAACAGCATCCTGCAGCGGCTGCAGGTCGGCCCTCCCCGGGGGCCCGAGGGACTGGGGCTGCAGCCCATCCTGGCCCAGCCTGAGCTGCTTTGTCTCATGTCTCTCCCACAGCTGGACTCCTACTTGCTCTGCATGTCCTACCAGGAGCGTCAGCTCTGGGCTGGTGACAACCAGGGCCTGCTGCACGTCTTCGCCAACCTCAATGGCTGCTTCCAGCTTGTCCGGGTCTGCCAGGGCCCTTGCCCCTGCCTGTCTCTCACCCCTGGGTCTCCTTCCTCCCTGGTGGTGTGGGGGGCTGGCTTTGGTAGAGCCTCTCCTGAGTGTCATTCGTCCCCCCTCCCGTAGTCCTTTGACGTGGGCCACAGGTCTCAAATCACGGGGATCAAACACTCGCTGGGAGCCTTGTACACTACATCCACTGACAAGACCATCCGGGTGAGGCTCCAGCCCAGCTCCTTTCCCGAGAACAGTTGCCCACCCCCACCCCCACCCGCCAGGGACCCACCTTGACCTTTGCCTGTTGCCCATCACCAGGTGCACGTGCCCACAGACCCACCAAAGACTATCTGCACCCGAAGCCACCACAATGTGCTGAATGGGGTAAGGCCCTGCCCTGCACACCCTGCCTGGCCAGCCCAGAGTGCCACCCCCTGACTCCCCATGTTCCTGCCCTCCCAGATCTGTGCTGAGGGCAACCTGGTGGTGGCTGCCTCAGGGGGCCTGTCGCTGGAGGTCTGGAGGCTACAGGCCTGAGCAGGCGGATGTGGATGTGGTTACTGCCGGCCAGCAGGCTGGACCTCGGCCTCTGTTCTTGGGGACCTTCCCCCTTGTTGGTGCTGCCTCTGTCCCCGTCCTGCAGGCCTTGGGCGCAAGGAGCCTGGGCCACCATCAGGCAGGGATCCTGGGTTGGTCCCCCTGCCCTGGGAGGTGAAGCTTGGGTTGTGGCCCACCCGTGGACCTGCTCCCACCCTCAGGTCCTGGTTTTGTTATGGCTTAGACACCCCACTCTCCGTTGAGAGCGCAGGAGAAATAAACCTGATGTACTGTACTGGCCTCCGGGCCTGGAGCATGAGCTTGGGGTGGCCAAGGGGCCAGGATGCTGCAGGGCGGGTTGGGGGATAGTATGAGACGGCGTTAGAGCATATCAGCTGCTGCCCTGTGTGTGTGTGTGTGTAAGAGGGAGAGTCTGAGGATCGTGGGCTCTTGTGTGAGATGTGTGTGTGGCGTGTGATGCCTGTGGCTGTGTAGAGTGTGACTTGAACCTTGGATGTGCACCTGCGCTGTGGGAGTGGGACCACCTCCCCTGAGTGTCACCTGTCCCACCTCCGGCAGTCCTTCCACATGGGCCACCCCTTAGGTGTGGGGGAGGGGATGGGAAGGGAGGAGTATGTTCTTTGGGCCAGGGCTCCAGGGTGTGTGCGTGCTTTGCCCTGGTCATGAACCTGGGGGTGGGCTGGGGAGGGAGGATGGGCCAGGTGTGTGCTTGTCCCCTGCCAGCCTGCAGTCCTCCTTGGGCCCCAGTCTCAATCTGGCCAAGCCATGCCCCGAGGAGCATTCATTTCATGTTTATTGAGGCCCTCTGGGTTGCTGGGCTCACTAGGTGGCATTGTCATGGGGTCACAGAATGGCACAGTACTTCTTCTCCTTGAAGGGGTTGGTGGTGGCTGGGATGCCCATGAGAAAGGGGTCGCTCTTGGCCTGCTCTGTGCAGAACTGCAGCAGGTCGGCGGCTGCCTTGGACACCTGCAGACATATCCAGTCAGCCAGACTGAGGCCATCCACCTGCCCCTCGCCCAGGTGTGCCCACCTCACCCCGCCTCCCATGTCCTCTGTGACTCTCACCTTCACACGGTCGATGCCCACCTCCATCCGCAGCTGCTCTACTGCCCGGCGGGCCTGCCCGATGTCGCTGCCAATGACCACCTTGCTGGACATCTGGGGGAGGGTGGCCAGGACTGTGGACAGCTGGCCCAGCCTGACTCTGCGCCTAGGCCCTCCCAAGGGCCCCCACACCTCCTCCCATGTCCCCTGGGGTCTGTGGGATAGGGATGGCTGTTCCTAGACCGCTGTCAGATCCACGTACCTCAGCTGAGGACTCTGGCTGAAGACGCCTGGCTGCCTGATCCTCCAGCGGCTGCCCCGCTCTGACTCCCTCCCCCACACCGACCTGGCCTCTCCAACCCCCTCTTCTCCCTCTCCCACCCCTGGAGAGACTTTGAAGCTAGGACAGTCATGGGCTCATGGAGTGAAATGTCACCAGCGGCAGTAGCAGCAGCTGCGTTGGCCGAGGGGGTCCCTGCCCTAGAAGGTCCTGCAGCTATCCTGGTGTCACATGTCACCTGGGTCCCCTTGGGCCGGGCAGCTTGGCTGGGGGAGTTCAGGGGCCTGGCCTCTCTCTGACCTGCTGTATCCCCTGCTAACTGTCCCCAATGTGCCTCCTTTGCCAGCCTCTGCCACCTGTCAGGTGGAGTGTGGCTGGGCTTGGGCATAGCCCTGCTCTCTTTCTCTGTCTACACTCACTGCCCAGGATTTCAATCAGATGACCCGATCCACTTGCTTATGTTAATGGTTCCTCTGTCTCTGTCCCAACTGCCTCTTCCCTGAACCCCAGACCTGAGGACTTGTCTCCCTCCTCCAGACGTCAAAACGCCTCTCAGAGGGCCGGCCCCGTGGCGCACTCGGGAGAGTGCGGGGCTGGGAGCGCAGCGACGCTCCCGCCCCGCGCGCGGAGGCGATATGGGGCGGGC